TATGTGCTCACATTTTTTGACAGAGTTTTATAATTTAACTAGTGGCATGTAGGGACGCTGATGTCGCGCTGTCAAATGTCAAATCATGATTTGTATGAGCAACAAGAATGAATTATGGAATAGAATTAAATTTAATTCAAATGTTTTAATGTTTTATGATGAAAAAATAAATATTTTCTCCTATTTAGTTACATTTTTGGGGAAAATTTTAATTTAAATCCCCAATTGACATATAGGGGCGATAGCATCGGGTTATTAGCTCTGTCAAATGTCAAACCAATGAAAAATAAAGATTTCTAAGATATCATAGAGTGGATTATTGAATGCAATCAAATTTAATTGCCAGAACCAATATTTTAAAGTTGACGTTCGATAAAAGGATAAATATTTTCCTTTACTTTGTTACTCTCCAACCTACTTAACCTCAAAATCCCAAAAAATACTTGACACACATTTCGAAAACTTATTAAACTAGATTTCGTTATATGATTTTTAATTAAATTATAATTAAAATATGCATAAATAATTGAAATCCAATTTAATTTAATTTATGAATTCAATTTCCCTGCCAATCTAACCAATATCCTACCATACTCATAATTCATTTCTTTTTTCTCTCTAGATAAATTTTATTTTATTTGTTTTTGTTCATTTCGTCTGCAAAAAAAAAAGCTTGAAAAGAACGCGCTAGTCAATGGCAGATGCTTAATTAATTTTTATTCCTTGGAGCTTGCGTGTTATTCCGGACTTTTGCTTCGCAGGCACTCTCGCCGGCTGAAAGTGCTCCAGAGCAGGCACCCGCCGGCCGAGCGCGCAGTTATTTATAATAAACGACATTGACTATCGTTGGAAATTTATAAGTGAGCGTTAGCGGTGCTGAGAGCGCCAGAAAGTAGGTAAATAATGGACATCTTGTAGTACCATATTTCATTTCCCGGCCTCTCGCACGTGTACGTGTCCCGTGCTGCGATTTTCTCACGGCGAGCAAATCTGAAATCGAAGCGGGCGCCCAAAATGAACGAGACCCTTTTGTGCAACCGAGCGTACGTGACTGACCGACTCTCTTCGGACTGGTTTTCGCATAACAAGATATTCCGACAAGCGCCGATTTTCCCGAATAAAATAAAACGTGTCACGAAAGGAAAACTTTACGAAATTTTATATTCACATTTCTTCGTCTTGCTATCCAACTCAAAACAAAAAAAATTAAATTGGGTTGCGAAACAGCGTGGAATTTAAATTTTATTCTTCAAACAAAACGAAAATGATTGATTAAACTTTCGTTAACTTTAACTAACCGATGTTCAATGAAGATATGTACAGAAACATGGCAACATTGCATATTTTTATATTATATACGAGAATGCAACGGAATTTCGCCGGCTTTTTTGCTTGTTTGTACATTCAGACGTAAACTTGATCACACTTTGTATAATCAATCAGTGTCAGGAGATTGTATTAGGATTAAACAGATAATCCGTCCACAAGCGAGTGACAACCACCATGCGTCAAGTTGCGTTCGCCCGCACCGCTGGGGGTCTGCGCCGCTTGATATGGAAATAAACTTTTTAAAATTCATTGAGCCATTTAACTTTGTCACACTCCTTGCTTATACAGTACATTAAGTCTCAATTTAAAGTCAGGATAATGTTATATCGTAGTACTTCAACTATCTGAACAGCTATATAACACACAAAAAATTTGTTCCAGGAATATAGTGCTAACAAATCAACGTCAACGGTGATGTTTTTATAAAGGAAACTTTAAATGTATTATGCTAAGATAGATGTTATATGTAAGTAGTCATTTAGTTTTTGTGTTTCAATTTTAATGACTATTTTTCACATAACCTCAAAATCTTATTATTTAAATGAGTTGAAATCATTAGGTACTAACCTTGCATTTCACTAATACCTCGCGTTAGGATAAATCAGTCAATACAAAACACTAAATTATCACTTTAAATAAAGTGCATTAACTATTTTCAGCCAAACCCTATACTTTAAACTGTTTATTCTGTGCACTATGCGTCGTCACGCAATGACTTCGTACTTTCTACACTCACTGTCAAAAGTCATTTTTGTCATTTGATTTGAATTGACATTTCTTGCCCGGTGAGAACAAAACTCAACTATTCGAAATGAAATAACCCTACTTTTTGTTTGAATCAACCATTTATCATGCAATAATAGAAAAATGAATATACTAACCTGCACCAATATCTTTAATTTTAATGATTTCACCAACACTAAACACTGGAGTGCTACTTTAACTGAGTAAGTACATTAATTATTTCTAACTTTAAACAAATCTTTAATCTGTTTGTGAGTGAATTATGCTATGTCACTCTAAATGCTGATCATCGAAGTGAATGTCACTTTTGACATTCGATTTGAATTGTCATTCATCCCCTGGTGGTAAAAATACGAACTAAATTCATTTTCATGAAATAACCTTTCCTTTGTTTCAGTCTGCCTAAATTTTTACACTTTTTATACAATTTTTATTGAAAACTAATTAAATTTTTCAATATTTCATAGAATCTACACACCTGGCCAGAATCCATTAACGTTATTAAATAATTTCATCAATACGAGCAGAGCACGACATGAGTTTGCACAGTAATAGCGAGACCAAAAGTTACCGGGACAACACGGACTCATAGAGAATTTTGCAATAATTAGGAATTTGGCGTCCGTCGCGCCAAAACCGAACGGCAGCACAATGAGCAGAAGCACTCACACCCACAATATATTAAACACACATATAAAGCGAGTGAGATGGATGAAGAGAAAACGGGTTCGAAACTAAACACTAAAATAGCGCACTGATGTTCATACTCCACTTCTGTGCTAACACAACATTCACATGTGTGTGTGTGTATATGTGAACGTAAGCCGCATAAAAGATTGTGTGCTGAGCGAAATTCCGGCCGCGTGTGTGCGACTATCGACGTGTATATGTGTGTGTGTATGGTCGTACGCCGAGTTTCACTGCTCAAACAACTCGCTTTGTATAAATATTTAGAGACCACCTGTGTCTAGTCCCGACCCACACACATACGCGGAGTGTGCGCGCGCCCGGCCGCCCCCAGTCGAGTTTCGATGAAAAGGGGTTGTCAGCGTGTTCATCTGAATGTGTGTGTCCGAGCCGAAGCTATTGTAGGCGTCATGTGGGTGTGTAACGTGCGCACCGGCTGAGTGCTAACTCGAAGCGCTTTATTATCATCGCGTACATGGAATGAATATTTTTTCGCCGGTCGGTACCTACGCGCAATCATATTTCACATCGTTTAGGTATGTACTAACTAGTGACCAGTCATCGTCGCTGGATTACGTATTCATTTTATTGACCGGTGCATTCTTTCAGCGCTTATTTCGAATCGTATTGAGTCAATGGGCATGTTCAGATGATGATTTTATTGCAAATCGCGCGCCCCGAACAAAAACGCCGAAGAGCATTCCATGTAATTATTTTCGAAACTATGCTGCGATGGATTTTCATCCCTTCGTACATTCCGCGCATATTTCGCGTGTGCTTCATTTCGTCACTGGATGCTTTGGCGCCTCCCGGTGAGCAAACAATAATTTGCACAACAAAGATAAACGGCTTTGTCGTTTATTTACACTCACTTATCAAACAGAAAGTTTCGCATAATACCGTATCAATTTAAACGCTTGTTTAGATAAAACTGCGTTATATTTAATCAATTTGCAGCGAATTTAATCAATTATATTTTAGTGTGCGTGTGCATGCGTTGCGAAGAGTTTAAATATTGCGAAATCAATTTGTGAATTTTACGTTGGAAGTGTTCGTTGTAGCCAATAACGGACGGCACCCCGCACAATCTATAAATAACCAAACCACCCGCCGTTCACCTATATTCAGCGTGCACACTGATTGTGCGCAGGAAATAGTAAAAATCTTTTGTTTTCTTCCGTTTACGCCTTGAAAATATATCAAAATAGAGTTCTATAGGTGTCAAAAATAATAATGGTGTAAAAAAAGTTGCATTGGTTGAATTTTAAGTGCAGAATTGGGGATTAAATCAATATCTATAGTAAAATTGCTGGTAAATTTAATTAACAACGGCAATAAGGGCCAGTTTTTGCTTATTTGTTGGTGTATACCTTGTTTACACTCAAAAATAATCAGAATTTTTAGTATTTATTAGTTTAAAACTTAAAATTAATCAAAATAAAGTTAAAACTTTTTATAGTGCGTAAAGGGTTGCATATGTTGCATTTTAAATATAAGAAGTGGAAAATCTAAGGTTTTACTGACGATTTAACTTAAAATTTAAATAATAACGGAAGAAAACTTATCTACCAACAAAAAATAGCCCGTATTTTCCATGATTGTGCTCCAATAAAGAAATATTCATAGTTTTTTTCTTAGTTTTATACGAGAAATACATCAAAATAGAGTTAAATCTTCAATGAATCATTACAAGTTGCATATCTTGCATATCAAATGCATAAATTACAAAATAGAAGCAAATTTAATATTTGAAATCAATTAAAAACATATTGATACTTAAATACTGGCATAAACTTTAATTACACTAAAAAATAATATAAATCTTTAGTTAATTTACTTGAAATAACTCAAAATAAAGTTTTAAACAACAGGTGGTTAACTTAACACTTACACATCTCAACAATTGCATGAGAATAAAAATAAACACAACTTACTTGCACTCAATGCGAATTTCATTGCGATGATGAGATGCCACGTGTAAAACGCATATTGATGAATAATTAACGCACCGCACACGGTCGTGGGGAGAATGCAGCGAGATGATGATGCCTCCCCGTCCGCTCACTTAAAATACCAGCACTGGTATATATCGCCGCAGCGTGCTCGATGATATGCCACTGAAAACTGCGGCCGGCGTCTCGGCGCTTTCGGCGAGCGTCGTTCGCAATTCGGGCCGTGACGCCCTCGCCGTCGTCCTATCAGCCGAACGCGCGTGGATACACAGTTGCGCGGCGCGGCGCAAACACGCCGGAAACAATATGCGCCCCGAACCGCGGGCGCGCTTATTCGATAATAAAAAGCGACACGCACGAAACGTCAGAAAGTGAAACTCTCAAGTGGGCATACACATACTGCATGCGAATGCTCGCCATTTTATGATTGCCAATGCATGAAAAACAAGAGAAGCGAAATATTTCCACTGATATAAAATTTTATGGCGCACTTAAGTCAAAGTAAGTATTGCTTTGAGGAAAATCTTATTGAATTTTTTTCATGAATATACTAGCAGTATACGTAAACTTCAATAAATCTGGTTGTAAATTAATTATTTAGCGATTTATGGCTTTGATATTATCTTAAAACGCTTTAGGTTTGATATTTTATTGAAGATCGCGTTGCAAACGACACAAGCGACACCAAAAATCATTTATTTTGGTTTGTATCACGAAAATATTACCAATTTATGCATAAATAAGCAAATTAAGTATACAATAAAGTTATTAGCTAAAGAAAACATATAAATAATTAACTGAATCAGTTGAAGATAAATATTTAATAGTTACGTACAACATAACCTCAAATAACATAACCTTACGATAAATTTTCTTCTTTTCTAGCGTTTCTTTGAATTTAAAAAATATTTTAATAGTTATTATGCTGTTTGAAGAAGAAATAAGTACAAAAACTCAAAAATAACAAAAATAGCTTCAGCAAATTTTGTTTTTGGTGCTAAAATGTAATTTAACCTAAAATAATTTGTATTTGCGTGCGAATAATAGCGGATGCAATTATTGCAACTCGATTAAGTGCCAATTGGCAATAAATATAATCTAAGTACGTTGGTGATAATTATTAATCGATTCGATAATAAATTAAACGGACATTTCTGCATTTATATGATTGTCGTGCAGTGCAAGCACTTTCTACGCTGCAGCAACTTGTTGCCCTATTTACGAGTGTTTATCGATCATAAGTTAAAAGTAGATATCTGAAAGCTTTTATAATAATTGATTTAACACTTTGTTGCAATTTTATTTTCTCTCAAACATAAATATAAACAGCAGTAAATTATTTAGTTGAGAGTTTAAACATTAGTTACCGAAATGCATTAATAATGTTCCAAGGTTTGCGGTGACGGGCCTGTTAAATGCTTAACTGATTAGTACGCGTCCAATATTGAGATCCTGCTCGGCGTTCGAATGCAAACGCGAGAAATTGACCGGTTAAGCGGATAGCTAACGAAATACCGAAATTGAGTGGAGGTGCCGGGCGAGCGCATGTTGCTTCAGTTTGCCGGGTTGGCAACAAGCGAAATTTGGGATGATGAATTTTAGAGCTGGCTTTGCTGCAAACGGTGCTCCCTTGTGTGAAGCGAAATTACATTAAATGCGCGCTTGGTTCACGAATGTTTTAACACTCGCGATTATATTTCTGATTCATTTAGTTATGTGTTGAATTTGCAATGGTGCATGCATGAAGAGTTGCATACATTGCATTGAATTGCATTAAATGAGAGTATTTCGATAATTTGCAGGTATTTCATCCTAAATTTAAAATATAACAAAATAGGATTTATTTACTGTTAATGGAAGTGTTTAAAAAGTTAGTTTTGACACTGAAACGTTAAAATACAGTCGTAAAAAGGGGAATATTTGAAATATTCAAAAATATTGAGTAAAACATTATTTTTAAGCATAAATAAACAAAAAACATTCAAATATTTTATATTAGTGTGTAAAAATATTATTTTAAACATTTTACACAATAATTTTACTCATGATAATAACATTTATAATGATTTATAATGGTGCATGCATGAAAAGTTGCATACATAGTATAGAAATGCAACAAATACAGAAATTCGACGTTCAATCGATTTAACATTCAGGAATTTCTTTCTATATTTAAAATATATCAAAATATGATATATTTACAGTTAATGGCAGTGTTTAAAAAGTTATTTTAGACCCTGAATTGCTAAAATTCCTTCGTAAACAACGTAATATTTTAAATATTCCAAAATATTGAGTAAAACAATATTTTTAAAGCATACATAAACAAAAAAACATTCAAATATTTTATATTAATGTAAACCATTATTTTAAACATTTTATTAAATAATTTTATTCATAATAATTTTTCTAAAAACCGTAAAAAATGCATTATAACCATTTTTATATTTTAAATAACTCTTTCAACTCGAAATTCACAAAAGAATACCATTTTATGAAATATTATATTTAATGTAACTGTAATATAAAAATCACCGACTAGTAAAAAGCAGCAACTAATGGATGCAAATGGAAATTATAATCCTCTTAAAATTAGCACTCTCATTCTTGTTGCGAAATAAAACAATAAGCTACTCACTACCTAGCCGTATGTACTGCCAAATCAAAAATAAATTGATCTTTCATATGTAATCATCAAACAAAACTCGAGTTGCAAAACAGAAATGCGATTGGCCCACGAAACACGTCGGAAAGCAAGCGAGGAAAATCAATAAGTGGAGATATATTAATCCGGTTTGATGCGATCAAGTTTAACTTCTTCGTGAATGTGTCTTCACGCTCCAATTGAATTCATTTGATTTTATTATTTATTGAAGCAGTTTTTTCCGCGTCTGCGAAATTATTGATTTCGGGCGGATATTTAGCTGGGTATTATATAAATTTAATGAATTAATTTCCAAAGATAAATCCTGATATCAAAATGAATGTGTTTTTGAGGGTTGGTAAAAACATAACGAACCCAATCAAAAGTTTGCGTGGACGTTTGGCTTGCGCGATGGAAGTTGAGAGAATTTCCATCTCGGCATCTCTGCAACATTAAAACATGACTTTGGCAACAAGAATTCTCCTTATGTATCTCATCCAAATATAACTTTTAATCAGTTTTGCTGCTTCCGCGCTCCTGTCAGGAAGACGCTGCGAATCAAACGCTACAATTGCGTGTACAGCAATTTTCCCAACACGAAGATTACGACAAATTCTTCAGCGATGCAAGTTCCTGACTGAATACCTGACTCTATTGCATAGGTATAAATTTGTATTTTATTTTTATTAGTTTTAGTTTTATTAAAGTAAAAAGTTTAATTTTGCATTTTTTAATTTTTATTTTAAAATAATAAAAGAAAAAACATCATTAATCAATTGAATTGTTCATTTTGCTTGTTTTAATAAATGTGCATTTCGCATGCAGTTGAGCGACAGGCTCGCATGTCGGTTTTGACAAGACAAACAATAGTTGTGTTTTAATCCTTAATTCAATACGTTTTGTTCGGTCGCTCCGATGAGAGCGGCCCTCGGCGCTGCGGGGCTTTCTGGCTTTCAACAACGTCAATTTGTGAACTAATTTGCCCACAAAACAATGCCGACTGCTGAATTTACCTCGGCGCATTCACTCTGCAAATCCGCAACCGTTCACATTGAATCCACTAAAGACCGAAAGCCGATCATATAGATTAAAATTCAATGCCTCTAGACGGAACTTTACACTGCACTAGCAACAATCTACAACCAATACATCTTTCACATAAAAAATATACATAATCTCACAAAAATGTACATCACGTAAAAATTATCAAACCTAACCTAATAGTACAGCTATTGTATAGTATAATCAACGAGTGAGTTGGAATTGTAATCCAGATTACGTGCCATTAGTTTCGGATTGGACATAACATGCGTAAAACATTGACAAGCGCTCAAATTTTCCAATACATTTCGGGGGCATGTAATCCCGGCTGCTGCATGAAACATTTCGAACTTTAATGAAATATAAACGCAAACAAGCGAGGGCGAAATATGCAGCAAATCAAGCACTCTCGCACGTCAAAAGCCCATAAAGCCGACGCCGGTGAACTAAAAGCTTTGTATACGAAAGAGATTAAAGCGCCGAAGGGGTTATTGATAAAGATTGCGCAATGCACTACTAGGCATCTTCGGGCATACCTATCAGGCTCAACTTGCCAGAAATGTGTGATGTGGTGTTAATGTAACGGCTGTGAGCAGCGCAACATCGTAATTAACAAGAAAATCATTACCTGAATAATAACATTTAAGAATGGTATTTTTAGGTTATTTAGGTTATGTCAAATGTTGAGTTGGAAAAGGTTATGTTGATTGACATCATGCGCGCGCATCGATTGATAGTTTATTAAGAAATTTATTCTGAAATTCCGTTAAAAATAAATTTAAGACATTTATTGATGCAGGTATTCATGAGGGAAATTAAAATATTATATTCCTTATTCATGTTGCTATGGTGATGGCTTATGATGACCCTTTGCAGACTTTATTCTAATCTGTAATTTATTTTTAATTAGAAAACGCATTTAATCCGGACAACGAAACAAATTCCATTAAAATTTATTCGTGTAAAGTGTTCAAATAACGCGACACAATGTCCTTATGTATATGTTGACAATTCGAAGCAAATCTCTGATTCTCCTTCAATCCGTGGAACGTGAGATGCGCCAAGAATGAAACATTTTTCGGCACATTTCAATAGAAATGTTTTTTCACGCTGTGTAATCTTTGAAATGCGAGCAGAGATTAAATTTGTAATATTTAATTAAAACGTATATTAAGTTTTAAAAATTTAACGCAAATGGTGTTTAGGTAAAATTGTAAAATTGCATTTTCGATCAAACCTGTCATCTCATCAACGCTGGTGAATGGCGTTCACACATACGGATATTAAAGTTATCGATTATGTTTGTGTCAGCGGAAGCCACGCATATGGGACAGAATAAATGATACACAATGAGCAAATTTCACCTTTTTCGGCAAGAAACATGGCCGTCATCAATCTTCGCTAGAGTAACCACCTAATCAATAACCAAGTGAAATAATAAAGTCAACTTTCGCCGTATTCACGCTGTTTCTTATATTAAACAAGCATTTATGTATACAACAAGTATAAATATATTTTAATGACTATTTTTGTTCATTTTCCTGGTAAATTAGCTTTTCTGCACAAATAATTAACGTTCATGAAGTTTACTGGTGATTTCATAGTGAAATTAGGACGTTTTCAATTTTAATTTGATGTTTTATCAATTTCACATCCGAGAATCCTGTTAAATTGTAAATAAAATGCATAACCCCAAATCTATAAACTTGAAACGCGTAATATAGGCAACCAATTATACTAAACCAACCTAAAACTTCACTTTCACATAAAATTTCTCTGTTATTTAATGTTTTAATCATTTAATACACTAAGAAATACATTTTTCATTAACTGAGTTTAATGTGTGACCAAGTTGTCTTTAAAGACCTGATAAATTACGCGCGCTTCTATAAGAAGATATAAAATATAGCGTAAAGAAATTTTAAAACAACTAACTTTACAAACACAAAACTTTAAGATATCTGCGTATACGGCATAAAAGTTGGCGAATTGTTTTCGTAACATTGCCGCCTAAGCACCGCGCATGGCGAAGAGTAAAAACTTGCGTTCACAGCAAAGCTTTACAAATTAGTCCGAGTCCTGAATCTGTGAATATGCCCGTAAAAGCTGGAACGGACAAGCAATTCGCCAAAACGGAGAAAAAGTTTCCATGCCCGAACTTTTAATGCACTTTCATATAATTGTTTCCTTATCTCTATTATACCGATTCGCTTTTAAGTGAAGTTTCATGTAGAATATATTTTAAGCTCGTGTTTTTGCGGCAATTTTTCATTGGCGCATCGACGACGGATTATTTATTGGTAAATTTGAAATATGAGAAGAAGATTCAATTTTGAGTATTATGGAATGATCGATTTAATGTAAATGCTTTATGCATATTTTAAGCATGATAGAATGCAAATTTTTATTAAGTACCAACAACGGAACTCGATATAATTCGCTTTTGGTAATGTGATACTTCCGTGTTTACGTGGAAGAGCCGGAGGAAAGTGGGCGAAGAAGATCCTGTAATTTCCGCTGAAAAATAATTAGGTTTTCGCAACTGCGAGCGCAAAATCGCCAACAGCACCCAAATTATATCTCACAGCTTACGAGAACAGAGAGCTTCAAGCATTGCGACAATACTAAGTCACTTTATTAATAGTTTACACTAATTTAAACTCAGGATATTTATACATTTAAGACAGAAACGAGACAAATTTCATTAAACACTTTTTTTATTCATTTTAAATTCTTTTTTATTTGGCTATTAAACTTAGAAAATGTTTAAGTTATTTTAAATTAAAATTCTGTAATGTAAAAACACGTGAATGTGCATGTGGACGAGTATTGGTTTTCTTTTAAGATTAATCTGCATACCACGGTAGTAAATCAAAGGTTTCGTGATCAAAGACTTGGTTATTTTTGTCTTCTTTTCATTTGACTTCTTTTTTCTGGGCTCTTGATGACTATCGCACAGATAGCCTATCAAGAACATTCTGCTAGGTATAAACTTTTATCAGGATGATTAATTAAAGTAAAAAGTACAAAAATTTTACGGTTTTTAGTCTTTTACAAGACTGCAGATTGAAATTTTACTATTCAGTTTTTATGTAAAAAAAAGTGAAAAAAATCTCCATGACTTTGTTTTTTAAGAATATTACCTCAATTAAATTTAATTTTGAGCCAATATATTAATACATTCTAACGCCATCTGGATGTGTATTGTGTAACTATAAAAATGATTGAATTGCCATATGAACTTTGATCGCTTATTTTACACCGTTTAAGTTATATTTTTGCTATTAAACTTTACAATATTACTTTCTAGACTACTCTAAACATTTTCTGAAATTTTTTTAAAAATTCGTAAAGCCGTTTATGAGATAATTAAAACATACATACAAACACTGATTTCTCCACATATATAGATATATTAACATATTATTTGGTTGTAGAATTAACATAAAAATAAGGTCAAGTAATAAATGAATAAAATTTCCATTTTTATGTAAATTCAGCCTTAATTATCTATAACTACCCTCATAACTATTTATTAAAGTAAACCTGAAATTAAATTAATGTAGTTTGGTCAACCGCAGTGTAATCATCGTTAACTATTACAACCAACAACATACAAAAACACATTTTTCTATTTCCTGTTTTTTTTTCAGCTCTTACCACATCAACTCTGATGCAATATTTAATTGAAACCAACCGAGTCGCAATTAGGGAGAAATGTGAGAATAGCAACGGCGCAACGCGCTATCCGAACCAATGCAGCGTGCAACCGATAATTACACCAAGTAATGGTTTGTTAACGCGAAGCGAACGCAAAATTATTACTGGTTTGCAAAGATTATTTAATCCATGCACGGGTTTGGAGCTCTTTTAGCGGGTTGCCTAATCGCTGGCATATCGACATGCTGGCGCACAGGAACAATCGGGATTATTCAGCGCAGACTAAAATGGAGTCAACCCTTCTGTCCCGGAAGCCTTTAAGGTTTGACCTTAGACTTTAGAACATTATGATTAGGAAAGTAAATCATTCAATTAGTGCCAGAGTATTAGTATTAGTAGAATTTGCTTTTGCTTTGTTCGAAACGCAAGTATTTTAATTAATCTCTGTAAGATGTTTGATGTTAGATAAAAATGTGAAAATCAATGTGGAAGCCATAAAGTTTTCGCTCCGGGGTTCCTCTGATGTCGATATAAAGACGATAAATTTACTCGGCGATGACATCGCGCCACGTACGCAGCCGTGCACGTCTTTAACGGGCTGATAATTCTAAAAGAGCAATTCTGCTACTGCTACTCGGCTACTGTCCCTTATGAACCAGAGCTCTTCACAACTATCAGCGTCTACAGCGTCTGCAAACCTATCTAAAGGATCAAAGGTCTTAAAGATCAGGCAAGGGTCATTGCGAATCTCTTCGTGCCCACTTCGGCGATACTCTCTCTTCTCTTCGCCATAAAAGCGTCTTCAAAAGTGCTCGGACAGACGTTTATATTCCCGCGTCGCTTCTTTTCACCATGTGCACAGTTGCGAGTTGGAGAACTCAAAGTAGAACGAATTTTCTATATAACATGAGGGATGCTAAAGTTACTTGTTACGCGAAACGCCGCCGGCTGCGAGCCGATCGCGAGCGCACAAAAGTTTAATGCAAATTCGATATTTTAATAGGATGATCAACTTTCTACGTTTCTTCGCTTTCCGCATGATGATAAAAGCGAAAGTTGGAATACTTTCCGCACACATAAAATAAACATTTATCATTCATGTGTTGCGCTCGTCAGTGCGGCAGTTTGCAAACAAAAAGTCAATCGACTTCTTTATTGTGATTGATGATTGAGGTGTTGCAGCCACTTGTAATGGAAATGTCAAGCATTTCAGACACTTCGCGTGTTATTTTTCTTTTTTCTCGTGTGTGTAGTCAACCAAAACCACACAAAAACGTCGTAGGCAATTGAATCACCATCAAATCCACACTAGCGCCATCTACTTGACCAAAACTGGAAGCTTTCCAACCTTAAAAATTAATTTTTATGCTTCAGGATTGTATTGTGGCATATCTCGTGTTATTTTTCGTTTTGCTCGTGTGTGTAGTCAACCAAAACCACACAAAAACGTCGTAGGCAATTGTATCACCACCAAATCCACACTAGCGCCATCTATTTTACTAAAACTGATTTTTTATTTTTAACCTTAAACATCAATTTTTTGGCTTCAAAATTATATTGAGAAATAAAATACGGTGATGTTTTTTTAATAAAACCAATCGGTTTACAATATTATGCTCAAAATGCGAAATGTTTTTGTAAAATATGCGCCGGAACAGACTAGGCCAAAGCAGGAATTTTTAATATAACCGACAAATCAATATTTGCATTACATGCTGGCGTATTTTAATCCGCGACTTTTATTTTTCCACAGCATCACACAGCGAAAAGAGACCCCGCGGTAACGGATAGCGTTGCTAGCATAAACAACACACCGCGAAAAAAACACACAAAAAAATTGCGCGGCTGCGTTCCACATTGTGGTGGACGCTCGCCCATACATCATCCGCAAATATTGCTCGCCAAATAGAAATAAATGAATATCCATTTGTACATGCATATGTCTTCCACATTCGAACTGGGCTTTTTTTTCCGGTGCGCGCGCGCTCGCGCGGAATCGATGCAAAAACACAACGCACGGTAAGCTTTTTGGTCCACCGGCATGACCGGAATGATATAAAATGTAATTAAGACCCCGGGTTAATTCGTTTTGTTTATTTATCGGTTACGGTAAATTGATTTTTGCAGAATGTGTCCACAGCAACGAGATCGATTAGGCTTAGTGTAGGAATAAATCCTCCGCGGACGTTTATAAATGCAATATTGTTGGTTTTACAACTAGCCTGGATTATATTTTCTATATTAATTAAATTGCATATTTCAATAATAAAATAAACAGTCAAAACTTTTATATTTCGTAGTAGTATTAATATTTTATCATGGATAACACTTGTATCCATTTAGAGATTAAATATTTTTTGAACATTTTTATTAAAAAGAACAGTAATGATTAATCTGAGTGTTAAAACGTGTTTATACTATCAAATAAAAAATTTAAATAGATATTATTCTAGGTTAGGTAACGTTTTGACAGCGTCTATTGACATTTCATGTTGTATAACCTTAAAAAGACGCTAACAACGCAATGTGACAGCTTGTTAATATTTAATCGACTTTACAATCGTAAATTTTAATGTTTATGCACCTATAAAGAACAAATATCTACAAAATACATAAACAGGTCTTACCACATAAATATACAAACTTGTATGTACCTAACCTACAAATGTAAAATGTCGTATTTTACTCATGTAAATGATATAATTTGATATTAAATTAGGTATTATTAGATTTGTACAGTAAATACTCTCCTATAGATGTAAATAAGTAAGAAATTTAATTACAAAACTTGACAACAAATGGAATAAAAGCGTCATCGCCCAAAACAAGCCTCATATAAATTCCGTCTCATCTCGAACCGACCAAGTACACAAATTACTTTCATGTACGAAATTTTGCATTCCAAGATTAATAATCTTAAGATCAAAGCACAAAAAACTCTCCGAACAAAAAAATTATTGCGAAAATAATGTTGCGAAATAGAAATCATCACCTGAATCTCCTTTAATGTAACTAAACAAAAGTAAGCCTCCATTGCAACAAAGCTGCAGAAAATGTTGTAACACGCTGTTTGAATAAATAATGATGAAAAAGTGCCACGATGAAAGCTTATTTATTCGCCGACGCCATCAGGCACATCGTAAAATCTTAATCATTTAAGCCGATAGAAACGCTTAATATTTAAAAAGCTTTGCGCCGCACTTCCACGTCATATATTTTTTGCCATACTTTTCGATAAGTATACATATAAAAAAAATTTCCGTTATTTTCTGCCGTCAATATGATGCTCGTGTTCTGTTATACCATAAACATTGAATTATTAATGCATCAAAGTAATTGATTTTTGTAGAAGTAAAAATGTGGTGAATTTTTTTTTCATATTCTGCTTCTATATCAGTAATATTACATTATGACAGGTTGAAATTCACGAAAATACAAGATAATAGTATGATGTAATCCATGTTTGACACACGACATGCATACAGGTACACAAGATGTCCTCCCGTTTGTTTTGGAGATATGAATTGTGTTTCGTGTTTATCCCCGGCGTACGCTTTGAATATGAGAGGCGGCGGTGGTGCTTTCCGCTCCCGCGAGTGCTGAGTAATGTTGCAGTAATAACGCGCGCCGCGGCTCGTTTTCATTTCTAATGTATGCTTGTGCTTTATCGAAATGGCGGCGACGCTCGCACAGTGTCAAACAGCACACACCGCATGATGTAGTGCAGACGCAGGTGAAATTATTGTAAATGCCTTTGTAATCTCGCATGGATATTCTAGTTAGTTTTAGTATACACAAGGCGGTGCCTAGTACTTGAGGTAATGGTGATAACAATCTACGCGTTACGCGTTTCGCGCGGAAAACCTGAGAAATATGCGCGTGCATATATTGCTATCAAAGTATACGAGTGTCGTTTGGAATTTATTATGTATGTTGGTATAGTTATTTGTTGTGGTGATAAATATTGTCGAAACTTTGGTGGGAAACTTTTCATCCTTCACGAATCCATTTCCGCGCTGAAATAAGCACGGAATGTAATATTTGGGAGATGTTGAGAAATCGATGGTTTCTATAAGCGTTGAAGTGTGAATGATTTGACTGGCAACCAAATATACAAACTTGTTTCTTGTATTTGTGCAAAAGTAAATCAATATTAATCTAGTTTCGGAATAAATTCTTTTGTAAATAGTAGAAATATATCAATATTAATGTTTTCTTTGTTATTTTAATGTAACTTGTTGGTAATAATGCCGTAATTGCATTATTGGTCATATTATTTGCATAATATAATATTTTAGACGTTTAGAGACAGAAATAATGTGAAAATATTTACTTCTTTAACACGAAATCATAAAAAACATTTTTGGTTTAATTTTTACAAAATTTTTAGTTTTTGCAAATTATAAGTAACTTTATATGCAAAATATTGTATTTTAGGCGTTTACAAACAAAATTAAAGAAAAAACATTCACTTTTTCATTACAATATCATAAAAAAATACATTTTAGTCCAAATATTTACTTAATTTTTTGTTTTTGCAAATGATAAGTACCATTAATTGCAAAACATTACATTTTTGATATTTCCACAGAAAAATAACCTCAATTTTTCACTCCTTCAGCATAAAAACCTAAAAATTCTATTTTATATGTTTTAATATTTACATAATTCATTTATATCCTTTTAGAATAGAAAAACTAACATCCGAGCACGCAGCGTCGAGAAACTAATTGCACCATCCGTTCCGACTTTCCCACATTCCATTATCTGGCAAAACACGAGCATTTCCCACCGACCGAGTTAAGTTCGCTGCCGGCTGGCCAGCCTACAAAAAACTACAATGTCATTTTCTATTGAAAACGGCGCACAGGACATGGCAGAAGACGGAAGAATACAAAGAACAAACACGAAAAACGAGTGTGCGTGTTGCGTTGTCCATTATTGTGCTTAGCGAGGTCAGCAGGAAGCAGAAAAACATTCTTGTGCGTTTTGGTGTCAAGCTTTGACTTTTCTCCTTTCTCTGGGGACAAGATTTTCGTAAATAACAAATGTGGTGCTGATTTGTCGTCAAATGTCATTGTGTGATGCAATGTTTTGTGAAGTCATTCAAGGAAATGGAAAATATTTCATAGTAAAATGGTAAAATGAGTAAATTTAAAAAGAATAATGTTTGAGTTGTGGTATAAGTACCGAACATAATAAAATAATCAATATTATTGAGTAAATTTGCTAAATTTTTGAATTTTTAGGTTGTAGTTTGTAATTTGGGTTGCCTAACATTAAATCAAGCATATATTTATACAGTTAAAATGTATATATTTTCATAACACGTTATTACTGATATTATTTCAGTGAATGTTTTTGAATAAAGCTTTTAACTTGTAGTAAAACATTAAAATATTATGTAACACAACATTTAACGAGTGAATGTCGATAAAAAGATCCAGTGGATTTGCATATTTATTCAAAATTATATAATTTCCAGCTGAAATCACACTGTAAACACAAAAGGCACAAATTACCTGAACCGGCAGAATTTCTCTACAAACATGCACACTGTTAAATTTATTGAATCAGCTAAACATTGCCAATTATATTGTCGAATGTTTGCGAGTTATAGAAAATAAATGCATACATATTAGTCGACAGAATGTCAACAATCGCAATGCAATTCCCATATGCGCCGGTCGAATAGATTGAAACAATTTCAAAGATCGCCCGAAATAAATCGGCTTTGAAGCAAGTGCTTTCCTGATTCATTTAACGTACGCGATCGCATACGTTGCGGCATTGACCCGCGATTGACGTATTTCGGCGCAGCGAGGCTTTGTTTCGCGAAAAACATGCTTTTTTTACGGCTTACGATACCGCGCGCGCCGTATTACGCTGTTGTGTGCCGGCATACAAAAAGAAGCACGAGCCAAATCGAAATCCCTGATATATATGTTTTCCAATTTTTCTATTGCGTGGCGTACGGGCGACGAACGGCGAAATACGAAAACGACAGGATTCGGTTGCGGCTTACGCGGATGTTAGTTGCCGTTCTAGCTCCAAACGCAGAGAAAGACGAATAATACAACAAGGAAAAAAGAAAACAAAAAGCCTAAACCACATAACCTATATATACAGCTACCTACGTTAAAAATTCAATACGAAACACGCGCGGAATGAAAATTGAGCTGTCGGTATCATTTTCAGTCTTGATAATTAATTGCAATCAAAATCATATCATAGTTTAGTGTGCATTTTGTCGTAGATATGTGTTAGGCTGAATGTAAATGGATGTTATAAGTTTGCTTAGCTTGAGAGAGATTAGTTAGGTAGTTTGCATTCATGAATAATTACCGCAACGACTAATTAGTAAGTAGTGCTTATGGATGCTTGTCTTTAGCATTGCAATTTAGCTCAGTGCACAATGTCAGACCCACAAAAGTTGCCATTTTGTTATACTAAACTTGATTATCACTATGAAAAGCATTTTTCTTTTGTTTTGTTCTTATTTTGTCTTAAAATTAAAGAAAACAAAAATATTTCATTGACATTTTGATTTAACCTTAAAATTTACATAATTTTAAGCTATTTGTGTTGTTTTAGTTGCCTATATTAACCCAAACAACAAAACACTAACTGAATACACTAAACTGAGCCAAATTTAATGCTTCCTCTAAAAATAATATTTTGCAACTGAAAAAACTTTGTTTCTTTGCTTGAAATATGCGAAAGACGAAACTTTTTACTTCATTCAAGCTTGTTTTTTATATCACATGCTTATTACCCCGCTTTCATTCCAACAATTTGCAGTCGGGCTCTCAAATATGAAAAATTCTGTTGAGACAGAGCGCATGTTTGGATAATTAACTCATGCCGCACTCGAGTGCTCGTTATACGGCTTTATGTTATAGACATAGACTGACTGACTGCTACTTTCGCGTGTAGACGAGTGTATCTGGTGTAGGTACACAGTGCATGTTATTTATTTAATCATGTTGTGCTTGAGCGTGCCTTTGTCCCAGCGTTTTGTTAGTTTAGGAAATTATTTCTCGACGAAAACCGAATCCGGTTGGCGAGGATAAGTAAAGTTTGGGCGCAGCGGCTGTGGTGGCTGCGGAAATTGTAACTAATTCAGTTGCATTTCCTTCTTGTTTTCCACCGGCTTGTTAACTCGCTGTTAAATATTAATTAGAGCTTTTTTAGGTGCATATTTGTCACAAATTTGAAAATATGTTACATGCTGTGTGTTTATAAATACAATAATAAGAATATTTATGATTGTTTTTTGCATAAAAGCAAGTAAAAGGATAAAAAACATGTAAAAACAAAACTAGTTACTAAATAGTGAATTTTGTTTTTCCCAAGTGTATTGGTAACACTGCTAGAGCTTTAGAAAGTAAGGTTGTCAAATGTGAAGCGGATAAAAACGTTTCTAACCTAGAAAAATGCTAAAAGTGACGGTCACTAAAGTAAATTTCAAGTAAAACTTGATTGTTTTGTTGTATAATAACCAACAAATAATAAACAACTATTAAACATAGTTTTTGTATTTGTAAAACCTACGTTCTTCTGTTTATAACTTGAGTGTGTTTTATTTTATTGAGTTTTCATTCTTGTCGATGCGGATAACCTAAGATTTTATTCCTCGTTGTTTTCCTATGGCTTGGATAAAAGAAGCTCGATAAAAGCACACCTAAGGTAAGCATTGTAATAATTCTAAAAATAAAACATAGAAATAATATTTCCTCTTCTTTATATATTCAAAACAAATAATACAACAAATTGTAAACGGAAACATTTTCCCTCACATAATGTTTCCAAAAACTAAAACATTGTCTATATTCATCTGATCGATAGCAAAATGATAAATCGAGAAACTTTAAGAAAAGCCCGCAGCATCTTCGCTTTCTCTTTCCATCCCGACGGACCAAAATGTGCTTGACGAAAGCCTTAACGAAACACCACTCGAAGCGTACGCCACGCGAAAGTTTCGCCAGCCGAGGGAATTCCGCCGTTACGCCTTACGCATATTGTGAGGTAAGTACCGCCACGCGCGCTGATATCATCGAGACACTGAAGACGCTTGGGACAACGCTGGAAGTGTTATAATGGAAATGTTAGCAAAGTTCTCCATCAAATCTCTTAGACCATATATATAGTACACCGCGCTCAGATGTTATACGGATCTACCTTTCTGACTCGGCCCGTACCTTTACTCCCAACTCCTTATCCCTAACTCAACACTATTCTCTGACAAAAGACAATGATCACTTGAAACACACTTGAAACTTGTGTGATGCCTTTGATAAATTATCGTCATAACAACATTTTTAAACCAATTTATTCAGCGAATGAAAATAAAAATCAATAGGACGCTTCCTGAAAGTAACTTCATTCAAACAGAAAAAAATAAGAAGGAAGCAGACGAGTCAATTGATAACGTCGGCATCACGCACGTAAACACGTCGCTATCGACTCGTCCGATGCGTACGCAAGCATCTATAAAGAGAAAACTGTTCGAGCGTAGCGAAAGCGCACGCAGATAGAGCCACCCCGAAGTGAGTGATAAAAATAGACTCGGGGGCGGAAATGATGCAGCATCTGGGTGGGCGGCGAGTGTCGGTAAGAAACGAAGCGACGCCGAGCGCAAATCGGGGGCCGACGCAAACCCAGCGAGCGCAACAGGGTCGACAATACAACAGGTAGTTCAACCTTCACCCTCAGGCCCGTCCTGACCCACTTTCCATACTTCCCTTCGACGCGCGCTCTGTTCCAATAATCTTACGACCACCTTTCCACGTGCGGACGTATATTTCATATATAAACCAATTTTCGATGTTAAAAGTTTCCGCCCTGCAAGTACCTCTACTATAAATAGCTTATATTTTATTTTACCTTGCGTAATTAATTTAATTATAGACATTATTCCGTGGTAGAGTTGAATAATATTCATGAGTTTCTTGTTTCCGTGTAGAAACATGTATTTATTAATATTTATTGTGATGCTAGATGATACAAAAAGTTTACATCATTGTCATTCACAGCAGACGACCTCATTCTACTCAAAAACAACAACAACAACCCTTTGCGGTCCATTCGCTTACGTTTTGCATTATATTCGTTTACATCCCTTTTATCTCATTCTCTTTCTGGTCGTAAAGAGTAGAATTTAAATTTTCAAATGAAATTAATGCCGCGCAGGTTTTTCTAACCTGATGTTTTTTTTTCATAATTAACATTAACATGGGATGCAATAAAATGCGAGGCATTTCGTCGTAATAAAATAATAAAATCTCTGTGCGTGTATTATAAAACACGCTTGATATTAGGTAATATCACGTTACCTTAGAGCCTTAGACATATTTTACCTGTGCAGATATTTTTTATTACAGTAAACTCAGGAATTTACGTTTTACGTTCATTAAAACCACATTGTGTTCCAAGCACAAATCCCTGCACATCGTTCTAACGGCAGAATAATAAAGTGTATTTTTGTGCATTGAATTTATTAAAAAAAAAAACAAGAGAAAATATTTAATTGGGTTAGGATTTAGTTTAATGGTGAATTGAGGTTAGTTTTGCGATTAGTCAGCCGTGGTGAATAAGAATATTGCAAACTCGGTGGCAGATTGCATGATAAATTACAGCTTGTCACCCGGCGTAAATGATAAAACGCTCGAGTAGAATAATTTTTTATGTAACCTTCCTTCCCGTTGTCACTTCTGCAGCATTTCTATTAGTATCCAATAAAACATGCACTTTGCTGAATGCGGCTATTGAGTATATCCTGACGTTGATGGATAATCCTTCGAAAAAAACATGCTCGGCACTATAAAACATGTTTCGTGGAAAATATTTATTAAAACTACTTTTTTGCTTTTTTTCGTGATACCTATGCATGAATATTATTTTTATTGACAAAGGAATGTTTGGAAGGAATGGTATGCCATTGGTACGCACAATGGCGCTGCATCTGCACAAAATAATAAACGTGTAATCAGAGAGAATTTTCATGGAATGCGATTATTAACA